GTTCGAAGGGTTTGAGACTGCCAACGAGACATCGGATGCTGCTTTCGAGACTGCAAACGAACGTGACGGCATGGCAACCGAGTCGGACGCTTTCCAAACAGGAGCAGAGACACTTGACGGAGACAGCAGTGATCAGCTAACAGAAACTGAAGCCAGGCCTCCTAAGTTGAGTGAGCGTCGTAGTCGACCCTCGCTCTCAAGTCGGGGTCGTGCTGCTTCCTACCAGAGCACAGCCTCTACGTCTGGCGATGACTTCAGTGAGCCGGATTTCAGGACGCCGTTGCACCATCAAAATTCTCGTATTCGGTTGAGGCCAAGCAGCTCTCGCAGGTCAACACCCAAGATCGGCTCTGGTTTGTTCGCTAGTACACCTCCCGCATCTAGGGATTCTCCTGCCAGCTACATCAGCAGTAGCAATGAGAATACGCCTGCTCAAGGCAAGAGTCTGTTTGCAGAGCTGAATGACTTGAGTGACGATGACGGCAGCTCTGTTGAAGGTACTGTCGATGGTACACCAAGCCGCTCTAGTATCATACACTCGCGCCAGTCGTCAACGGATGCACTGCGAAGGACCATCACTGCTATGCCCAGGCCACTTATGGTAGACTCGGGTACCATGACCGAGCGAGATATCCCTGACCCCATCACCATTTCTTCAATTTCTAGCCAGGATACTCAACCGCAGGCCATCCGCATGCCTGTCCTTCAGTTGTCTTCTTTGCGTTCAAACAACACAAACCCGCAGGCCCCGCGCCCTCAAGACCTCCAAGTCTCTTCAGTTTCGTCGCAAGGTACAGAGCCAAAGCAGGTGCTCCCACCAACGCTTCGCCTCTCCAGCGTTTCTGGAAACGCAACCAGTCCTTGCGCACCACAACTGCCTCAATTGGCTGTATCTTCCTTGTCTGCCCAAGGGACGGAGCCGCAAGCCCCCTTGGTACCATTGTCAGCATACTCTTCTTTGCGTTCGCTAGACACTGCACCATGTGCTGCACCCGTCACACCTTTGAACATGTCATCTGTGTCTGCCCATACAACAGAGCCACGACATGCTATTCCAGCGCCTCTTGGGCTGTCGGATTTCTCGTCTCAGGCCACGGAGCCTCGACGTGCACCTACACAGCCTCTGGGATTGTCAGACTTCTCTTCCCAGGGCACAGAGCCCCGACATGCTCTTTCACAACCTCTTGGGCTGTCCGGCTTTTCGTCAGCGGGCACGGAGCCTCGACAATCTACTCCACCACCTCTTGCCTTGTCAGGTTTCTCATCTCAGGGCACTGAGCCTGTCTCACCACACGTGCAAGAGCCTGTCGTTGCTTCGTTGGACGTTTCTTCCATATCTCACCAGGCTACTGAGCCAAAGGAAACCAATAGCTCGAAGCTTCTAGCTCCATTACAGCTGTTGAGATCGGCCATATCGACTCAGTCAACAGAGCCTGTAGAAAGAACCGAGTCCATTGCCGATGCTACCAGGTCCGTATCAACTTTTGAAAAGGCTGCCTCGGTACAACCCCAACAGGCACCTCGAGCACAAGAGCATCAATTGCTGCAGTTGTCAAAGGTGGCTGCTCACGCAACCGAGCCAAGAGATGCGTCCCACAAGCAGACACCTCTGCAGATATCAGCCCTGGTGTCTAACGGAATCGCGCCCAAGGATGTGCCCCGCACACCACTTTCAGCGTTTTCGACAACGTTGACCCAAGCCACAGAGCCGCGACTGCCCAGTCGAGAGAGACAACAGTTTTCTGAAATCTACTCGCACGTTGCTACCGCGCCTGTTGCACCGCGACTACAGCACATGCAGCTGTCGAACTTTTCGGTCCAGTCCACCGACCCTGTCGAGACGCCCAAGCCAGCTCTACAGCAGCTTTCATCATTGTCTTTCGAGACATCCCAGCCTGTGGAGCCTTCGAGACCACTCCTGTCATCTTTCTCTGGTCTCTTGTCAAAAGCGACCGAGCCAATGGCGCCAAAGACACCGGCTTCTATGGGTCTCTCAGGCGTAGAATCGCAAGTCACAGATCCCGTCAAACCGGCACAGCATGCGCCATCGCAACTCTCAACCGTTGACACAGTCGAAACAGAACCTGTCTTGCCAGTTCTTCCTGTGGGATCTGTACTCGACGTGTCCAACGTACAAACAGTCCACGATACCCAGCCTGAATCGCCAACGCTTCCAGTGTTCCTCCCAAATCCCACAAGCAGGCCATCTACAGCGAACAGAGAGCAAGCCCCTGCCATGAGCTTGTCATCTGTTGCAACTCAAGGTATCGAACCGGTGGTGCCGTCAAGATCTGTGACTGCACACAAGGACACCCCACCTCTCACTCTATCGACTATTACTCAAACAGAGACGATTGAGAACAAGCAGCCATCAGTGCCCGAGATTAGCTACTTTGCTGCCAGTCCAACTACGAGCAAGAATGCCTCACTCGACACTATTCCTTCATTGGACTATAGCCGAGAGACACGTGCACCCCTTATGCCTTTAAGCGCCAATATTCCTGCTAAGAAAAGTCAAATACAAATGGCTGACGGAGGGACTCAGACTATGGTATCTGCCGAGCAGATTGACAAGTTACTCCTTGCTCGCAGTCAATTGCGGAGCGGCACAGTGACCGTAGAAGGGTCAGACAAAGCCCTTCCATCTCCTGGATCACCTAGGAAGTCAATACCCGATCCTCTCCGAACTCCAAAACGTCCTGGCAGCTCTAGAAGCATGCGTTCGCGCATAGAGACGCCTCCCCCACTACCACACGACCACAAAGAAGTCATTGCTACTGCATCGCTCAGGCCCATGTCTCCTGGATCAATGGGACCACCCTCGCTTCCTGCCTCAGCCTACAAGAAACGGCCGCAAACGCCAACCATCAAGACAAGCAACAGCAATCTCACTCCTATGACAGGCGGCACTACTCCACGTGTGCGTCGTCTGTCACAGCGAAGCGGCGCGTCTTCGCCTCTCAGTCACCGATCATCGTTGTCTTCGTTCACTTCGGAAATTGATCAGCGCTTCAATATACCTGGAGGCCCATCGTTTGCTCCAGGTGGACTAGCTGCCGGTGCCACAGACCCGCGGATGATTCAGGCCATTACTCAGACCATGATTGGTGAGTACCTATGGAAGTATACCCGCAAGACTGGCCGTGAAGGCATGTCTGAAAACCGGCATCGACGCTTCTTCTGGATCCATCCTTACACAAGGACCTTGTACTGGAGTGACCGCGACCCTCAGAGTGCCGATAAATCGACCTTGAAAGCTAAGAGTGTAGCTATTGAATCTGTTCAAGAGGTCGACGACCCCAACCCTCTCCCTCCCGGGCTCCACCAGAAGAGTTTACTCGTCATCACGCCGGGCAGGTCAATGAAGTTTACTGCGACTACGGGTCAGAGACACGAGACCTGGTTCAATGCTCTGAACTATTTGTGCCAGCGCGTTGAAGACGTTGAAGAAAAGTATTCGCCAGTGTCAGAGCATAGGCCCACAACGGCTGAGGAAATTCAAGACGAGTTCAACGGCGGATATAGAAGCTCTTCGCGCCAAACCGGCCGATCAAGAGCTTCAGTGATGTCGTACGCTACTAGGCGTGCATCATCTCGCGAACCTGGCCAAGTACCCACGATCCGACAATCAAATTATTCTCAGCAACGCACACTTTCAACCGAGGCACCGGCTCATGGCTCTGTCGCGAGCAGATTCACTAGCATGCTCCGACCAAGCGCCTCGGCTATGCGAGGATCTTTCTCCAGCCGGCGAAGCAGCAAGGCTAACGCGCCGGAGACAACAATGTATGAAGAACCAAGCGCTTCTCACCTGGAGCTTAGTCGCGATATCCACGAGCACTTGGAGCAAGACGAAGACTTTATGCCCAATGTTCGAGCGTGCTGCGATGGTAAGTACCCCCTCTCCTATACAACCGTCATATGTGAGCTAACGTCTGCAAAGGCAAACACGATGTTGGACACCTTCATCAACACTCGATCAGAGGTCGATACGTCAAGGCCTCTAGTTCACGGCCGTCGCTCTTCGGTTCCATGAGCTCGCGGGCTCAGTCTCGAGCTGAGTCGCGCACAGAATCTCGCACAGAGTCTCGGACCGAGTCGCGTACCGAGATGCGCAACGAACAACTCCGCCACCAAACCGAGATGGAGGCAGCAAACTACTCAGCTGGTGCATAAAACTCTACTCATTACATATAACCCATTCCTAAGCATCACACGGTTCGCTTTTGCGAGCTTGAACTAGTCACATGATTTGACTGACATTCTTTATTTTCCTAGCATTCTGTATAACTCGTGGGAGCCGGTCCCTTTTTCCTATGTCTATCTCTGTCCGTTTTGCGGCTTTTGGACGTTATAGTTCGATCTGGATTCGCATCAAACAACAAATAAACCTCGAGTGGTCACTGCAGGAGCCTAGAGCATGGCTTTGGGCGGTGAAGCATTGCCTGTCCGATTTGTGCAGCGTGCTTGAGTGGGGATGGAGCTGTACACTGAGACGACCTAACGCTTCTCCTTCGCACTAGGCTCCGACTTCGCTGTGTTTGTCGGGGCGTGTTTCCATATAGCTTGTAACTAGACCCTTCATTCTCTCCTCACTCTGGAGTTGTCAAGTTTCGCATGTTTGATCTGGCAGCATATCGGAGTTGGATAATGTTTGATAGGTGGTGATAGAACTACTGTGACGGCGAATGGCTAGAACGATGGGGACCAATGAAGAAAGACGTAAACTGAAACATGTGCCCTTGCTCGTGACCACGCGGAGAGAGGCGGCGTTTTAATTATTACTATTATAGATGCGCGTGACGGCGGCCAAGTGGGCATGCTCGCATCATGTTCATGCTAGACACAGGTCGCAAAGACGGTATTCTCCGGGGGGCAAAATGCCAAGAATCTGCGTCACCGCTAAACTGAAGTAGTAGACCAAACTTTCGCTCCTGGCCAGACGCGAGGCCCATTCGTCTATTCCCTCCTTTACAACCACACAAAATCAATCGCGCATCCCATTTCCTTGTTCCACCTTCGTTTCAGCAACTGCGGGCAGCTTCCGGTATATCTATAATAGACTTTTGACCACTCTAATCACACCCACGCAAACACGCCAAAGCGCGACCCAGCGCACGATACCATCTCGCACGACTACGGAGACGACAACGACAGCAACGCCGCGCAACGACAACGGCAAAACCTCCTTCAACTAAAAACGATACCAACACACAACCGCAATCATGGCGCGTAACTCTGAAAAGGCGCATTCGATGCTCTTCCGCTTTCGCGCGGCGCAGGCTGCCGAAGCGGGAATCATTGACATTTCGCGCACGCGCCGCCCCAAGCTCATCACGTCGGTCAACTCGATTCCCGTGTGCGAAAAATGGCGTGGCCAGGTCCTCAAGGAGATCTCGCGCAAAGTCACAAAGATCCAGGACGAAGCGCTCTCGGATTACCAGATTCGCGATCTCAACGATGAGATCAACAAACTTATGCGAGAGAAACATATGTGGGAGAGCCAGATCAGGTCGTTAGGAGGGCCCAACTACATGCGAGGCGGAAGAGTGCTAGATGAGGAAGGGCGTGAGGTGCCTGGAGGTGGCAAGGGGTATAGGTATTTTGGGCGAGCCAAAGAGTTGCCAGGTGTCAAGGAGCTTTTTGAAAGACAGAGTCGCCCAGAAGACGACATGGACAAAGGACGCGAAAAGAGGAGCGAGCTTAGGCAAAAGGTGGATGCGGGTTATTATGGCTACAATCTGGACGAGGAAGACGGCACGCTCTTAGCATACGAGAAGGCAAAGGAGCGCGAGGCCTGGGACAATTTCATGTTATTGGGCGATGAACTAGACGAGAAAGCGAGCAAAGTGCAAAAAGAATGGATCGAACTACCGGGCGACGCGGGCGACGGTGTACGATGGCGAGTGCCTACTCTCGACGAGGTCAACAACGAGCTTGTCGAGCGCAGGAGGAGGAAGCTACTTGAGAAGTTGGGATGATTGGACGATTGGCATATTGACGCGCCCTCTTTTTTTTCTTCCTCCGCAGAATCATTCTGAGAGGCTGAGAGAGCGAAGAGAAATCGGGCTAAACTGTACAACACCAGATTGCAGCATTTGTTTTGGTTTTGGGCTTGGTTTTCTTTTCCTCCAACCGACAATCCCTTTTTTTGCACCTTTCTTCGAGGCAGAAGAAGAAAGGAAGAAAAAAGGATCAAAGACCGATATACCCTTTTTCTTTTCTTTTTTGATTTGGGCTGAACACTTCGGCTATCAACAACTTATAAGCTCCCATGTATATCAGTATCATTGGCGGACGAGCAAGAGCGAGTCTGGAGCTAGAGTGTATGAATTAAGACATTTTATAACTAGAAGAAACAAGATTGGTGCTTTGTGAAACAAGTTACTTTTAGATGTGAAAAGAGGCGGGCTTCGTATCTACATGTTCGCTGCGTGACGGTGGAGGGACTTGGGTATCTCATTTGTTCTTGTAGAGTTCTTCTTTCAGCAAGCCAGCCCCCCATTGCTTGCACACTTTTTCTCAGCTTCTGCGCGCTGCATGGTGTTTTCTTTGACACGGGCATTCAATCCCCATTGCGCGTTTAGTTTTTCCTCTTACCTCCACTCCAACCTACATTCCTCTAAAAACTTTCCCTTGACCATCTTACCAACTCAAGTCGTAAACAGCGAATCTTCTTCTCGCAGGTACTCCCCAATATCCGCCTGCCTAAACGTAACAATACCCGTCGGATCCAACTTCCTCGCATCAACCGTCGACCGCGCACTCACACCGAATCCCTAGTAAACCTCTATTAGCCCAACTACTTTCCGCAGAAAAACAACAAACAACAAACAGTTTAATAAACTTATTCTTCTCAAACTTACCAACGGTGTATCATTCATACTCAACACCACAACACCCTGGTGCTCAGGACAATCCTCGCTCCACCTCCCGACATGCGCTTTCAACACATTGCCGCCGTACAAGAACGGCATCTCGCCATTCTGCTTCACCCACACCTTGTACCGCGCGTGCGGCGCAATGACGCTCAGCGCTGTGATGTGGAGACGGAATTTCCCGGTTTTTGTGAATTTTCCGAGGCAGATTCCCAGGGAGAGCAGGTTGTCGCGCGCGACGCTTGTGGCGAGGTTGGCGAGGGATTCACGGACGTAGTAGACGCGGGAGCCCTGGTCGAAAATGTGAGTAATTTGGGGATTATAGGGGGAGCTATTTTCGAGGAAGAGGGAAAAGTACCTGGACGCGGAAGACGTTGCGGTCGGAGCCGCCAGCTGGGTCGGCGATGAGGTTTGTGATGCCTTTTCCGCAGTAGGAAGCGAGTTTCTCGAAGAGAGTTTTTGTTTCTGGTTCGGTGAGGGGCCTCATGTTGGGCGAGTTTGTATATATATGTATGTATTTCCCAGGTGTAGATTGGGTTGGGGGTTTGGAAGGAGCTGTGCTGAACTGGCTGGGTTCTGGCGCAAGTTCGCAAAGTCGAGATGTGCTTTTGCCCGGGAAAAAAATGTGGAGCGCAAAGCGGGACTAGTCTCCGCCGCGGCCAAAATTTCCAATGCGCATTCCTCTTTCTTGCTGCTGCGACACCACCCAACACAGATGGGATTTCTCAGTCCTGTGTATTTTTTTTTAGTTTCGCATAAATCACATCATGTCCCGCATCCCGGCTGCTAAGCGAAGAAGATTATCGCCACCCGAGGATGGAGAGCGTGGTAACGGAACCACGGTCGATCACAAGGCGACATTCTTGAAGAATGCGGCGAAATGGGATCTGGAGCAGGACTACGAGACGCGGCCGCGCAAATTGAAGAAGCAGAAGGAAAACAAGAAATTACCTGTTAGGGCGGCAGAGGGCTGGGTAGCGCCGCAGCCGACTGCGGAAGACATCAAAGAAGAAGAAGACTCGGACAGCTTTCTGGGGACGGGCAGCGAAGATGAGGGGGGTGAGGGGGACGAGGGCACCGACGAAGAAGAAGATGTTGAGGAGAAAAAACCAAAGATACCTGCACGACAGCAAATACTAGAAGCGAAAGAAGAACTTGCTCGGATAGCAAGTCTGATCAACGAGGATCCAGAGGAGCACATTGGAGCATTGAAGACATTACAAGCGCTTGCCGACTCGGAAAACTTCACAGTCAAGAAATTGGCATTGGCGACGCAAGCCTCGATCTTCAAAGACATTATTCCGGGATACAGGATACGACCGCTGTCGGAGGAGAAGATGCAGGAGAAGATTTCAAAGGAAGTCAAGAAACTGCGGCAGTTTGAGCAAAAGCTTGTGTCGGGTTACGAGACTTATGTTAAGCATCTGGCGAAACTGGCAAAGGCGAGTGGATCGGATAAGGAGCAGGTTGCGAGTCTAGCCACTGTCGCTGTGAGCTGCGCATGTAACCTGCTGAATTCAGTACCGCATTTCAACTTTCGCAGCGAGCTTCTCAAGATTCTAGTTGGCAAGCTTAGCACGAGGAAAGTCGACGCAGATTTTGTGCGGTGTAGGGAGGCTATGGAGAAGGTGTTTGAAAACGATGAGGATGGCAATGTCTCGTTGGAGGGTGTTACCATGCTGACCAAGATGATGAAAAGCCGGAACTATCACTTTGATGAGAGTGTGTTGAACACTTTTCTGCATCTTCGTTTGCTCTCTGAATTTGCCCAGAAGGCTTCCTACCATTCTGTAGATAAGGCGGAGGAGCCAATGATCAATGGCAAAAAGCAGAAGCAGAAGCGCGAGTTCAGGACGAAGAGGCTGCGGAAGGAGCTGAAAGAGAAGAAGGCTATTGAGAAAGAGTTCAAGGAGGCCGATGCTGCTGTTAGCCACGAGGAGCGTGATCGGATGCAAGCTGAGACGCTCAAGATGGTATTCGTGGCATACTTTAGAATCCTCAAGGCCCGCTCAGCAAAGCTCATGGGCGCTGTGCTGGAAGGCCTGGCACGATACGCACACCTGATCAACCAAGACTTCTTCGGCGACATCCTCGAAGCACTACGCGACATCATCGCGACCGCCGAACTCACAGCTGCAGCCGCTGCCATGGACGACGATGACGACGCTTCCGAAGACGACGACAACGAAGCCCCCGAGCGCAACCTCACGCGCGAATCCCTCCTCTGCGTCATCACCGCCTTTGCCCTCCTCGAAGGCCAAGAAGGCGCAAAAACCGCATCAGCCCTCAAACTCGACCTCAGCTACTTCATCACCCACCTCTACCGCACCCTGCACCCCGTCGCGCTCAACCCAGACATCGAACTCAGCTCCAAATCGCTCCACTTGGCCGATCCCACCGCAGGCACCTCGCACGCCGACACAGCCAAGATCAACGTCCAAACCACCATCGTCCTGCTAATCCGCTCCCTCTCCTCCGTTTTACTGCCTGCAACGTCCATCCGCGCTGTGCCCCCCCTGCGCGTCGCAGCCTTTGCAAAGCAACTCATGACCATCTCCATGCACCTGCCTGAAAAATCCTGCGTCGCCATGCTCGGCCTGCTGAACCGTATTGCAAAGACTCACGGTAAGAAGGTGGCGCCGCTGTGGAATACGGAGGAGAGGCGCGGCGACGGCGTGTTTGATCCGCTAAAGCCAGAGATCGAGGGGAGTAACCCGTTTGCCGGGACGGTGTGGGAGGGAGAGATTTTGAGGAGGCATTTTGCACCCAGTGTAAGGGAGGCGGTTAAGGGGGTTGAGAGGAATGTTGTTGAGGCGACGAAGTAGGGGTGAGGTGGGAAGGGGGATTTCGCAGGGGCATGTTGGATGTGTTGGTGATATATGTTATGAATAGAACACGAGGTTTTATATCATCTACCAGGCTGAGATCTTCTGCTTCTCGGGAAAAGATATTTACTTGTTCTACTCATGTTCATCGTTCTCAGCTATCTTCTGCTATGAAGTCTCCCTCTTCAATTCTTCGTTTTGAGAGAACATCAAAGTTACTTTGGGTACCTACATGCAGATAGCCGCACTTGCGAAGAATTGCTGATGCATCAACATTGTTCTTTGTCTACTGGGGGTATACAAGCCATCTCTTTTTTCCTCCTTTTCACAAGATCATACGGTGACGTGTGATTGCCACAAACTTGAGAGTAATATCCATTCAAAAGTCTCGATATCTGTGGGTGGCAGGATGGGGTATGTGGGATTGTGGCAATATTTGTAGCAGTTGTTACTCTTTGGCTAGGTTTGTCTAGGTGTGTCCGCATGGAAGAGGTATTTTGTTCTGCGAGTGTGATGTGTTAAGTAGGGATAGTCAAATGGGATTGGTGGAATAGAGAAATGATATCCATACACCCCCCTTGCATTCCCAAAATACAAATAGCAAAAGACTAGATGAACACAATAATGGGACTTGGCGAACGTGAAATGCTGGTTTGTTCTGACGCCAAGTGCTTACTGTATCCGAGTTCCAGGATCGGGGGGTGGAGAGCATGGGTGGAGCGCTTGGGCTTCAAGGATATGGGAGAGGGGTGGGTCGTACGCGAGGTAAATAGTATTGAATGATGATACTGCGTGATAGTGATGGAGTCTTAGGATTGCGTCAGATCTGTGTGGTGTCTAACAGAACTATGTACTGTGCTAGAAGGTTTTCTTTGAAGGTGAATTGGAGAGGCTATGGAGGCTATGGGGGGAGCTTTTATGAGTGTAGTTGAATAATTTTCTAGGCTATGTAGTCTGTGAACAACAAGTTGTACAAGAGCAGTCAAGCTCAGGGGGCAAAAGCGATGTATTTTCTATCAAGCCTGAATAGAGCTTGAACGTAGCTCTTATGTACTCGTTCGGAGATACTATCTACCGAATATTATGTTGAGCTAAGCTTCATTGTTAAAGGCTTCGACAGTTCGGGCTTGGTCTTCCGTCAAGCTCCGTAACCATCACCATCCGGCTTGGGCCGATAGATCTTCAGATCTGGTAGAGCTTGGCCGTGACACTATTTGCAAAGCCCTCGGTAGCTTAGACAGTGACTGTGATTCTGAGTGGCGCAGTTATCATTTCCACTGCTAACGATCTTCGGGCTCCACACCTAGCTAGTCATGCGTTGTACACTTGGGACTAAAAATTCCTGATAAATTGATGTCTTAAGTTGATCTGCAAAGTTCGTGTTGATCTTTTAGCAAGAGATGATTCTTGTAAACGCTTCGCTACCCAGCTGGACATTTCTTCACTCGTGTTGAACAAGAAGTCATACTCTTGCTCATCAAAGAATGTCGTTGAAGTCGAACTAAGATAGAAACCTAGTGATATAATTGCCTAGGAACTGAACCATTGGCTTGGAAAAGTCCCAAATAGTATGAAAGATATATCCCCTCTGGATGTGGATAGGCTACTGAATGGTAGGGCAGTTCAGACAGCGAACGGAGTATTTCTTGCGGCAGAAATAGCAAGTCTACTCACTAAAGCGATCCACTGAGCCATGTAAACCAAGTCTTCATCGATAACATGCCAATATACCTGTCAGTTCATCATGGCAGCCGTAGAACACACCAAGAACATCCTTCTCTCGGCCCTTCAACCCTGATAAACCCCACAAAAAACCACGCGCAATATATCTCGGGCGTCCCAGAAGTCAGGTAATTTATACGCCTCTAAATGGCGATCTACTTCCCTGGTCTAGCAAAGGGCCGACTCCTGATAAACACGGACCCTACTATCGCCGGTTAGAATGGAAATCGAAGAAAAAGAACCAATCTTACCTACTTATGTGGTTACAATCTTCAGATGCCAAAGAGTTTACTGTTTACTTATAAAGACGCAACCCAGAACTCCGAAGAACGGCGATGCAAAAAAATTAGTAGTATGCCAAGGGGATGCCGTCTATTAGCAAAACGAATGTAACTGAGACGGTTCGCTTATTTTGGCGTATGTGCTTACAGACGGTACATGTCACATGGCAACTGATGCAACTGAGACGTTGCTTATTTTGGGGTACTAAATACTATGCTTATAGGCTTAATTGCTACATCTCCAAGTGTTAATATGGAAACCGAGGACGATCAAACGCACGTCGCAATTTGTAGAGCTTTTCTTTGGATCCTTGATGTGGCGCATCTGTTTTTTCCCCGCAGATCATGACATCCGATTGCTAGCTGTACGAAAAGAGAAAGTCGAGCCTGGTAATATATTATTAGCTCCGTGTGCTTGGACTTGTACTGAAGCCAAGCGTACGGAGTTGAAACGGACTAAATGCGATGGTCTTGGCAATGTTTGGTCGGAGGTATTATCAATTTTTACATGATATCTAGTAGAGTATTTGTAGCTGGGGTATCCCGTTCGCCGCGCGGTGTCAGGTTTAGCAAGATAAAGCATTGTTGCGGTTTGCATTGCTCAGCAAATGTCGCCTAGTGTTTCTAGTTGTTTCAAACACTTCCACAGACGTTCGAAGGAAAAAAGCCTTAAATTATCGAGGTCGATGCGCAGCGTTTCTTGCTACATTTCTGCAGTTTCGTTTTCAACCCGTAATTTTAGCATTCATATATTCTAGAAAGTCTTCCCGTAGAACTTCCGGCTTTACGTACTACACGGGCTAGCATATGCAAGTGAGCCGCTTGCGTCACTGACTCGATGCCCAAACAGCATACATGGAAGGCCCTTCAGAGCCTCATATGAGCCGCAGTTCTTGGCGGTGCTTTCCCATCTGGCTTTCCTGCATATAGATACAAAATGCAATAGACCGTTCTTTAGATGATCAGAGCGTTTGTAAGCTTGGGCTCCGGCGTTATTCATCTATTACTCAGTACGCTTGGTTGGTATCTAAGCTTGCGACAACAAGATCTTGGAATGGATATATAAGGATTCGTCCTTGTTGCAGTTGAACCAGTGTCCATCAGAGTGTATTGTCTAGCTCTCACTGTCGATTGCTACTTCCTTTGACTACTCCGGCACAAATGGCGGCGCTAAACTTCAGAGCGCTGTATGCGTTCTTTGTCTCACTTTCGCTTCTTAGTGTGTTGGTGTCCGCAGATCCTCTCCATGCGTTAATGGCTCGTGGCCGACCGGCCATGAAGGCTGCAATTGAAAAATCTGCAACCTGTACCAAAGACAAGTTGCGCATACGTCGGGAATGGTACGTCGTCTACTTCACAATTCTTCCTCTTTCGCAATACTGACTCGATATCAAGGGGTGACTTGTCTGCTGGAGCCAAACTCCGCTACATTTCTGCTGTAAAATGCCTCATGAAGAAGCCATCCAAGTTAGATCCTGTCGAATACCCTGGCGCCAAATCCCGCTATGACGACTTCATCGTTGTCCACATGAAGCAAACGCCATACATCCACGGCACTGGAAACTTTCTCACTTGGCACCGCTATTACATGGCTACGTTTGAAGATACACTAAGAAACGAGTGCCACTACAATGGCACACAGCCATACTGGAACTGGCCGAAATGGTCCGAAAGTCTGGAGACAAGCCCGCTTTTTGATGGCAGCCCGACAAGTCTTGGTGGTCAGGGATACAAGACGAAAGTAAATGGCACGGCTCAGAGACCCGCTGGTGAAGGCGGCGGTTGTATCGCTAGCGGACCGTTCAAGGGCTTGCAAATGAACCTTGGGTAAGTTGTTCCTCTTCCTTCCATTTTGAAATACACTCCTTACTATAGCAAATCCAACTAATACATCTTTCCCAGACCTCGCGGACTCGCAACGAACCTGCCTGACCGGCCGAACCCTCGTGCGGATGGCTTCGGATATAACCCTCGCTGCGTCAGACGTGATATTTCCAGCTATCTTACACGACGCGACGGCACAATGGAAAAAGTGATTGGTCTCATCTTGAACAACACAGACATTGGGTCGTTCCAGACACACATGCAGGGAAACCCAAGCGTTCACAGCATGGGCCATTACAGCATCGGTGTAGATCCGGGAAGTGATATTTACGCTTCACCTGGTGGTACGTTCAGTCCTTTTCCCTGCTGCTACTCAATCATTTATTAACAAACTGCGTGTTGTAGATGTTTATTTCTGGTTCCATCATGGCATGATTGATCTGGTATATGCGGTTTGGCAAGCGCTTGATTTTCCGAATAGGCAGCAGGTTATTTCGGGTGGTACGCTATTTTGGAACGGAACAGACAGCAGACGGGCGACTTTGAATGACACCATCGATATGGACGTGCTCAGGACCGACAAGCCGTTACAGGTTAAGGACCTAGTCAGTACAGTCGACGGGCCGTTTTGCTACCTCTACGAGTAAGGTAGACGCATATTTAATATCAATTCTTAGACTTTTCATGCATTAAACAAAATGTTTTGTGAAGCCTAGTGATCAATCACGTCAGCCCCACACGACAAAGACTTGAAGAAGATATATGTCATATATTTTGGTCCTCAGATTAGCTCTCCTGCTGTCCTCAGAAGGAACCTCAACTGTCCCCCATTGTTCAGTCTCTCGACCTCTTAACAGGCAACAAACGGGCTCCTCAACTCGACTTTGGCTTTGATGCCCCACAGGGACATCATCACTGGACCCTTTTTCGTCCGTCTGTACAACGGGCTCTTGGCAAGGAAAAATAACAACCCACCTACAGGAGCACCACCTTGCAAGCCAGCGACCCCCAACGACAAAGACCACGCTTCCCCACACTTACGATGCCTCGAGGGCAAAGGCGCTCGGATTGAAAACTACAATTAAATTGTCATAAGCGAACAACGTCCTCCAAGCCTTTGAGGCAAGGTAGCACGGCGCTTCAACTCTTTTACTTTGTCCTCAGTGCGCGGTGGGAAAGGCTGGGGCTGCGGCTTGTCGTGAAGGTGAACCCAGTAGCTTTGCGAAACCACCTGTGGCCCATCGCTGTGCAATGATGTGGCCGGTGGTATGGCTTCATCTAGTATGATGGCGCACCCCCTCCGCTTTCCGTTCTTGTCTGTCATGCAGTGAGATGCCAGGGGGGATTAGTCCCCAGCATCACCTTGTGACGAAGGTTTGTCGTTCATTGGGGTCTGACTTGCGTTAGCTAGAGCATAATTCTAGTTCTTTCTTTGAAACTGTTCGATAATGCCAAAAAAAACAAGCAAGTCTGGAAGAAATGCTGACGCCGGGTTACTTACTCGCAGCTTGGGTTGTGGGTGATGAGAGAAGCCGACTATGGAACGCGCCAAAAGTTGAGCAGGCGCGCAATCACGGGACCGTGCTAATAGTACGCTAGTGACGTAAGCTGCATGTCAATAAGCCTGTTATCAACATCAGATGTAAACCTACCCAAATGGGAAGCCAGATCTTGGCGAGGCGTAGCCCCATAAAAACAGACGAGCACCTTGCCCTCCTCCAAAACCCTGGGCTTCTCTCTCTTCTTACTATCCGTCGCAAGGACCGTGTTTTCAGGTTCCGTCAACTAGTACTGAAGCTTGCATTAGGACTCGTACAACAAGCACATAGGATTGAACTGAGAAGATCGAATAAATTTAGATGCCATTTATTCAGAACTTGTGCATCCAACATCATGGCCGCTTCTTATTCTCCATGTCGTCAGGCCACCTAAATTGGATGCCAGAACAATACTCAACCCACTCCACTTGCTTTCATCGACAGCTCCTGCGTGCTCCAGTGCAGAGATCTGTTATTATGAGCGGAGACAATAGATTTACTTGGAATGAATTTTGTATGTGCGATTGTGACTCGGTATAGACCAGGTGTATAATAATAATACGGAAACATGCTAGGGAACTGTAAACAAGGTTCACGGCCTTTTCCAGGCCGTTTTCACACCACCAACTCCATCATCTAACACTGTACAATGCTGTCCAATCGTACTTATCCCCAATCTCGACGCACCCATCGACCTGTAATCTCCGACGTTTCCAGATGCTTCGCCTTTTCTGTCCGCTGAACTTCAGATATGAATTCTTCCCCTAGAATCGGTCTCTTTGCCTGGCCCTGTAGACGGTGAAACCGACGTATGCACCAGTTAGTGCCATACCAAACAGCACGAATTTTACAAAAGTCCATGTCCAGCTTCCCTCGCTAGGTCTCTCGCGGCTCATGGACGAAGCGGTCTTGCCACCGGTGCTTCCTGTCGATGGCATCGCACCAGGGCTCTTCTTGTAGAGGTTTGTTGACCTGACCCAAGCAATGTCGTGGTTGTCGGAGAGCTCACCAGTCTCGGCAGAGAAGCCCAGGTATGCAACAGGCGGGACCTTGAAGTTGGGGATTTCAAAGCACATGGTCCATTCGTCTTCGGCCTTGTATTGGATCTCGAGGCGGAGGAACTGCTCCTGGAAGTACGTGAGGCGGGCTTTGGTTGCGATTTGCGCGTTGCGAATGCCGCGAGCCTGATTCACTTGTTAGAATGCATATATTCCGAACTTTTGGGCGTTCGCACCGAGCATCCAGCAAGCTCGTTGGCCTTGCCGTCGTTATCCTTGTCATACGCCGTGTTTCCATCGCCACTCATAGCCATGATGTAGGGGAATACGGTGCCTGGTCGGTTATTCTTGTAGGTATCGAAGAAGATGCCGAGGCCCTCGAATTTGTCAGTATGGCCAAAGACATTTCCTGGCTGTGCGCGCTGCTTGGTGAGCCACATGGCAAAGCCGTCACCATAGAGGTTTCCTTGTCCATGAATCTTGAACTCAAACATGACCTGCTCGTGTGAGTGTCTAGTTTAGCAGTGCCATGTTTTTTGCACGAACCTCCCAATTTGTGGCCGTGAGAGGGACTCTCGAGAAGATCCAGCCATCGCGCGAGGGCTTGTCCGAAGCAAGTCGAATGTACTTATCAGTCCGAATAATGGTGTCTCCGCCAAAGTCCCACCAACGGCTTTGCATATCCGAGTCGAGGTATGGCTATAGCTAGGGTCAGAGAAAATTCCAGTCTTCTGCCTCCAGCAGTAACTACGGTACGAAGAGGCGACTTACAGGCTCGAGGGTGTGTGTCCGCAGCTATGTTCCGATTAGCGACAGCGGCCCCTCAACTCATCGTGTAGCAACAACGCACCGAGATGGCCTTGATATCAGGATCTTCGGTCAATCCTCCAGACCGCGCCCATGCCCCCGTCAAGCTCCCCGCCATCAAACACAAGCTTGTCCATGGTTTTGCAAGTAACATGGCTGCACGACGTTCCCTCTTACTGCCTGAGACGGGCGATCCCCAAGGTACCAAGCGGCAATTGGCGCGCAGAAAGAATGGAAGAAGACCTTTGTCTTGGAATTGACAAGGAATAAAGCCTCGGGAGATTGAAGCTGCGAAAAGAAGATGGCAGCACGAGTTGGCGACTCGGACGTGCTGGAGTTCTCAAAGCTGAGACTTGGGGTTTGGAAAGGCCACTCTATCACCTCCGCGTGCAATGCAGGGGTCTTGGGTTGCGGAACCACGCTAGCGAACAGCGCCGCTCTTGACGTCGACAACTTTTCCACGCGGGAGCCACTGCCCAACAACTCACACACCTTACTTGCAATCCTTACTTCTTGATACCCTAATTCTACCAAAAAACACATTCAATATTCATCATGAATTCATTAGGCCCCAGCGACCCAAAGACGGCCGTCATGCGCCAGGTGCAGCAAGAAGCCGCCATGCAGAATGCGCGCATGCTTGTCGAAGTACGTCTAGACACTTTGCATTTGTCTTAAAAAATTACCTATGCTAATGAATTCACAGAAACTCAACGAGCACTGCTTTGAACGCTGCATCCCCAAGCCTGGCACATCCCTCTCTAAAGGCGAAGAAAACTGCTTCACTGCATGCATGGAAAAGTACATGAGCGCATGGAACACTGTCAGCAAGCAATACGTCGGTAGGATACAGCGTGAAAGCGCCCAGGGCGGCGCAGTGCAGAACTTTTAAATTCTGTAGAAAGGATACAAGAAAAAGGCTTGTGATGGGAACAATGCCATGGCAAAATATACAGAGTAGATGAGACCGACAGTCTCGCTTTTCCGGGCGCATGGGTAACATGAGAAATGCCATCTGTACGAGTAGGTTGACGTATCGATATGAAAATGTACTATACAATGTACGACTAGCAACACGAGCTGTATATGAAGATAAGACATGTGGTTGAATACCAAACTCGGACTTTCAATTATTGCTTGCCAAACGACTTCTGTCTCTGTGCATATTCCTTAACAATGAGACCACAGTTGACCTCTTGGCATAACTTCTTCCGCCTGTCGGGGCTCAGCTTCGTTGCAAACTCCAAGCCACTTGCCCTCTCCACCGCCTCAATGGGCACTTCAAAGTCAGACAAGGGCTTGCTGTTGGAGATGACTGCATTGGGCAGCACAAACGCTCCCAGTGCGACTTTGCCGCCCAGCTTGCCTTCTTCGGCAAAAATGACTTTGTAGAAATGAGTAGGGACGGCAACGTTGGGCGGTGAGCCAATGACTTCGTATGAGACACGCCACTTGCCGTCCTCGTCGCGCTTTGGAAGGTACAAGGGACCGGTTACGATGCGCACAGAGGGATAGTTCTGTGTGAGTCTACGGCAGAAATCTTCGAAGTGGGCCCAGTAATCGCGGTTGAAGCCATTGCCCACCTGCGGGCACATGTTGCTCAGCGCAAAGGTGTCGTCCATGGCTTCTTGGCTCCATTTTGCGTCTGCTGCGGGGACTTGGTGGCCTCGGTCATAGCCGCTGCGGAGGTAGTCCTTGAGCTTTGCGCGGAACATCTCAGGGATTGAGACATCCTCGACAAAGACGCTGTGCTTTCGATCCGCATTGTTGTTTGCTAGCGACTCTGGGGTTATGTGCTCCGCTACCCATGCCGGGTTTCGCGTCCGTCGGTCGTACGACGATGTGAGAGAGGCAGCAGGGCGGAGGTCATTGACCGGGCCGGGAAAGCCATATTGGAAGAGACCGCTGGGGTCTACAACCGCTCTGCGAGCAGCGGCAGCAACCGCAGGCGCGTGAACCGCGAGACCCGTTGGGACTGAGGGAATTGAGCCTGCTCGTGTGGATCCAGTCACAGTTGTGGTGGTGGTTGTCGTGACAGCTGGTGTATGCGGGAAGTTGTCTCTCCTGGTCGAGTACAGCGCTGCTGTTACTGCAGCTCCAGCAGCAGCACCGCCTGCCCCGATCAAGGCGAATGTCAGTTTCGACATGGTTGCAGTTTAGTCCTCGGAGATGTGGGCCGCAAGGGATAGAAGTGGACGTGGAGGCCTCTTGTAGGCGACAAGGCACCCGCACAGTCCAGCGTCCTGTCTGGCGCGTGAGGAGTGTCTCAAACGCGTATATTTGTCCCCGTATGGTTCGCTGCTGGCTGCTTTTTGCATGCTGGTGGTCATCTGCGTTTTCTCAAAGCAGACTTTGACGCTTACCGTATCCGCACTAGCGTCAACAACTGAGAGCCTGCCAGCACTCTCAATATGACTAAAAATCCATCCCAGCCATTCTCAGTTCGCAGAATTCTCAATCATTTTTCTTTTTCCTTGATTGCTTTCTTCCTGTATGGTTATAGCACTATAGACTGAGTGCACGTTCTCACGCTGTGCGACTCAACCCCACCAGGATGCCTTCGTGGATATCGCGAGCCTCCGAGTCCCACCATGCACAGCTTGTGGCGACCGCTGCCGTCTCAGGCCTTGTAGTTGGAAGTGCTATTCTTGGGTTTCAAAAGGCTCGACGCATGACAAGAGTAGCAGACTTGAAAGCGTCCATTCCAGATCTCAGTGAAGACCACCGTCCGTCAAGAGCAAGTACAACAATTGCGCCGGCTAGCTTTTGCCATGACGGCCTCGTTCTTGGAGATGCACAATTTCTCTGACGCTTTATAGTTGACTGAATATGGAGCGGCTTCACACGTATTTGCTCCAAGTAAAGAAGATGAGCGCAGCATGGCACTCGCCGCGCGAGCAAGAAAAGGTGATTATGATGATGGTAAGACGTCACTGTCTTTGGAAAAACGACTACATTGAGTTCTCACGGGACTATTAGATCTTATCCTCGAGCAATTAGCGAGAAATCGGGTCTTTCTTACAGATGAAGGACTTGCGAAGCTACGGGGTGCTTTCGTAATCGTAGTCGGTTGTGGTGGAGTAGGATCGCATGCAACAGCAGCTCTTGCAAGATCAGGATGCTCCAAGCTCCGTCTCATAGATTTTGATCAAGTTACTTTGTCTTCGCTCAACCGACATGCAGTAGCAACTCTGGCAGATGTCGGAACACCCAAAGTGCACTGCCTCCGCAAGCGGCTCGAACAAATTACACCATGGACCCACTTCGAATGCCGAAACGAGCTGTTCAGTGAGCAGACTGCAGCTGCTCAATTGGCGCCTCTAAATGGCCAACAACCAGATTTTGTAATAGATGCCATCGACAACATCGACAGCAAAGTTGCTCTCTTGGCCTACTGCTACATGAACAACATCAAGGTCATCTCCTCCATGGGTGCAGGTTGCAAGTCTGATCCTACTAGAATCTTCATTGGCGACATCTCAGCAAGCACAGATGACCCTCTGTCAAAGTCCACAAGACGAAAGCTACGGTTGAAAGGCGTAAAGGACGGGATACCTGTCGTTTACTCAACCGAGAGGCCAGGTCCTGGAAAGGCTGAGCTTCAACCGCTCTCAGAAGAAGAATTCGCAAAAGGCAACGTTGGAGAATTGGGTGTTCTCGCAGACTTCCGGGTACGAATTTTGCCAGTTTTAGGCACCATGCCAGCAATCTTTGGCTTGGCCGTTGCCAACCATGTCATTCTCTCCATTTCTGGTTACCCACATGAATATCTTCCATCAAAATCTCGAGACAAGATGTACGATGGTATTCTAGGCGCTCTCCAGGGCGCTGAAGAACGCTTGGCTCGCGCACTATTCAGCGAAGATCCTCTCGGTCTCAAGATTCCCATCACACAAGACGATGTTGGCTATCTGGTAGAAGAAGTGTACAATGGGAAAAGTATAATAAGCGGCTTATCTACACGCTTGATATTATCAAGATGGAGGAAGCCAACTGAAAGCTTTGTTGATCAAAGCACTCCAGGGCAGAAGAACAGCCAGCTCAAGATGAGAGATTTGGTTCTCATGACTAAGGAAGAGGCAAGCAAGCACGAGAAGGAGGTATTGAAGGGAGAAAAGAGCCTTGAAGAGTTATACAGCGCTGAAACGATTGAGCGCGTAAACAAGAGAATGGCCGAGGAAGAAAGATTCGAACGCTTCCGGTAAGTTTAGGGCCACTATCAAGAGAAACTCTCTACTACATACATGTATGTACAGTATCTTGATGAACAGAATATCAAATCAGTATTGCATTCTTATCTCAACACAAAGATCAGTATGAGACAGATGCATGCTTATACGTCGGACCACTACCGGGAGTTTGTGGACGCGGGACATACCTCCGTGCGCTTCAATCTACACTGCTCAGCACATGATGCTTTATGGATTTCTCTATCCCCGACCTTTAACTCCGATATTACTAAATAAAGTTTTTACATCAGTCGGTCCCGATAGATCCAGCCTTGGGCCGATGTCTGTCGGCCTGTTAGCGCGAGGCACGCAACCAATGAGAGGAAAGTACAATTCCGCTCCACGTGCTAGTGGCATAGTGGGTAACGACTTTTCTTCATGACGTCCGGCTCGGTGGCTACCACTGTAATGGTAAGGTAGCCGCCGTTGATTAGCAGAGTAGCAGACCGCCTGACGTCGAGTCGATGACGGTCCCCCTGCTGCCTTGACTAATCAACGGCCCGATCAGCTCCAAGAGACAGGTAAATTTGCGGGCCACCTCCGGAGTCAATGGGTTAAGTCCGCGTGGAGGCTGCTCCAGATGGACAAAAAATCTATGAACACGTCATGCTAGGCCGTCGGCAGAGGTCATGATCAGGGTTTTACATATGTACATATATGTGAGGGATTTCCTGCCCTTTTAGCAAAACTCATTTTTCAAGCCTACGACAACACCTAAACACACACTGAACATTACATTTATATCAACGACGCAATGGCTACAGACACCAAATTCGAGGGATGGCTTGGCAAGGACAAGGAGAGCGTCAAGGGAAAGATGGAATGGGGCCAATTCGAGCCCAAGAAGTGGACTGAGGACGATGTCGACATTGAAGTCTCCCACTGCGGTATCTGCGGTTCAGACTTGCACATGCTAAGCTCTGGCTGGGCACCAACCCCATACCGTACGCATACCCAATTGCTACCCATTATCCCGCATGCTAACATACCGCAGCTTGCGTTGTTGGTCACGAGATCATTGGCAAAGCCGTCAAGGTTGGCAAGAATGTCAAGCACGTCAGCGAGGGCGATCGCGTCGGTGTTGGAGCACAAGCACGCTCTTGCTTGCAGCCAGATTGCTCTGAATGCTCAAATGGCATTGAAAACCACTGCTCGCGCGGAAACGTCAGTACCTACGGTTCTATTTACCCCGGTGACGAGGGCAAGTCTTACGGAGGATACGCAAAGCACAACCGCACCAATGGACACTTTGTGCTCAGAATTCCTGAAGGCTTGGATAGTGCTGATGCCGCACCCATGCTGTGCGGAGGAATCGTAAGTTACATCTTCAATTGACTATGAAAATCAAGCACCTGCTAACTATGTCACAACCAGACTGTCTACTCACCACTGAGGAGGTTTGGCTGCGGTCCCGGAAAAACTGTAGGAATCGTCGGAGTCGGAGGTCTCGGCCACTTCGCGGTTCTTTTCGCAAAAGCCCTGCGTGCCGACAAAGTCGTAGGAATCAGCCGCAAAGCCGAGAAGCGCGACGACGTACTTAAGCTAGGCGCCGACAGCTATATCGCAACCGACGAAGACGAAGACTGGGCCAAGCACAACGCCGGCACATTGGATCTTATCATTTCCACCGTCTCGAGTGCAAAGATGCCGCTAGATGGATACCTCGGACTGCTCAAGACCCACGGCACCCTCGTCCAAGTCGGTGCCCCGGATAAGGGCGAGCTACCTCCTATCAACGCTTTCACGCTTCTCATGAAGGGAATTAGCGTCGCCGGTAGTGGTATTGGTGCGCCGTGGGAGATCAAGGAGATGTTGGAGTTGGCGGCTGAGAAGGAGATTAAGCCGTGGGTGCAGAAGAGGCCTATGAGCGATGCTAATAATGCGATTTTGGATATGGAGGCTGGAAAGGCGAGATATAGGTATGTTCTTGAGAATTAGAGGGCTAGTTAGATGGGGTGTCGGGGTTTCTTATAGACATGAAACCCGATTTAGAAACAACGACTAGATACGAGTAATGAATGTCCATGAAATAAAATATGTATTCTACACCGTATTGTAACTCATCTAACGTAAATCGATATAACTTACAAGTAAATCCAGCTTAGACATGTCATGGCATTTACCGCTTTTATTATCACACCATAGTACAAGAGTAACGGTGCTCATGTAACGAGCATCTCATCTACAGCAAGTACGAGACCGCAGATACTATACCAGCAATCCTAGGTTCGCTGAAGCGAAAGCTGGGAATTCCAGGACTGTTAGCATAATGAATTTGAAACCGAGCAAAACCAAGCCAACATGAAAGAAAATACGCAATGTTCCATTGTATAACGCTACGCAGCAATCACACCAAGTACACACGCCTAGACCAAGACCCTGGAGCCTTGGATCGTCTACTATCTAGCCTTATTGCCACTATTTCTTAACAACCCAATACTTCCTTATGAAATCCGCTCCACCATTTTTCTCTGTCATTACATTTTTTATCCCCACAAGCACAACAGCTTAGCCTTTCATCAAGTTGCGCTACGAGTCTGATGTTGGGACGATCTTTCCAGCGATTTCTACACATATATGGGATTACGGCGTGAGTCTCGTCGTCATTTGGTGTCATCAATACATGATTCTGACTGACGGTCGAGAGTCATAGTTATGAATTCACCTTCTCTGAAGCCATCTGTCGGTTTCCAGTGGTTCGGCGTACTGTTTCTGGGTAAATTGATGGCATACGAGGCGCCTTAATTAGGTATTAGTTTTCTTTCTTTCTTACTTTAAAACGCGTCTAAGGGCTGTCGATCATACAGTAGGATATGTGATGCATTAATCGATTGCTACCGTAACAAATCCAATTCCTAACTCCACCTACTACAAGATTCTGGCAGTGCATTGAGTGCTGTAGCTTTGAAATTACGATCTATTCTTTTCCGTCGAAAACAAGTAAGAATGCTAGGATGAAACTCTGGGGCAAACCATGACACAAGGGTCGTTCTTAGCAGTTCAAAAACTGCCATACAATGGCTTTGTGCAGTGTTCTGACCGGTAGCAAGAGGCTCGTAAGCAGTATCGGCATTGATGTGTAAATCTCATCAACACAGTATGTTTGGCAATACGTGCTCACCAATCACATTTACTGTCTAAACCAGTAATTTTTCGTAAGATACAAAGTAGTTTCGTTTCCGGGCTCCATTGATTCCTTTACGGGAGTAATCCATCTCTGCTCGTAGTCCAGCTACTGTCGCTCACCAGCGATACGATATATCATGATTACAGTCCGTAAGCGGTATCGAGAAGGGGTACGGCTTTAGCCGCAATTACTCATTCATGTTGCAACAGAAATCGCTAATAACACTAGACAATCGTGCCTGATACGACTTGGTTGTGTTCTTCCAATAGCATTAGTTGTTTCTACTATTTCAATGTGAACAAGTCAGCTTTCCGAAAAATATTTTTTAATTATGATAATGCTTATAATTACTCGGGGGAGAGAACTATACCACCTCTATAACTATTTTGAGTCAAACATGTACTCCGAATGGCAAGGCCGGGTTATTCTCCAAACCTATTCAGTCGATCTTGATAAATTTGATCCCATCATTCGATCCCGTTGTCTCGATACTTCAATCCGTATAACTACGTTTTAGACTTTTGACTCGACCCAACCATGACTACTGGTCTTTGATAACAACAGTGTGAATGCTATGTATATAGCCGTAAAGCGTAAACCTAGCTAAGAATTTCCCACTCAATGAATAGATACATGGTTAGATATGTAAGTGATATTTATTACCAGCGTGCCATACTCGTCGTTGGATCGCAGTCCTTGAAATGTTCAAAATATTACATCCTCTGAACATGCACTTCATACCCGACCTGCCCCTCTTCTGCTGAATCATCAATGATTTTTGACCCAATCATCTCGAGGGCAATAAAATATCCTACCGCATCCTCGTATTCCTTTCTGGAGAAGTTCTTCTTTCATTCTTCAACTAAAACTTAAGCCCCTCCGTTATAGATGCGTGAATAGTAGCACAAGACCCCAGTACTGGAGAAAGTCAAATAACAGTATAGTACAGTACAGTACAGAGTTAGCTTCCTATCTCAAAAAAATCTGAAAATCCCCTTCTACTGAGGCTTGTACCTTACCCCACGTAGTAATCTATCATGTCGGATGTGCTGACGTCTCATCCATCAATTTGAACCCCAAGCAAACCGCGCACGGTCCACACAACACCAAGCCATGTAATCTTCATTTCGCCGGCTTGGTAGCTATGCAAGACAGTTAGAGTCAAAGTTCTGAGATTAAAAGCTTGACAAAATGATCCCTCAGGACACCCTCCAACTGCTCTACAAAGCATTATTCCAGCATCCTGAAACGCGTGCCGCAGTTTTAAACTCTCGACAAACGGGGTCAGCCCAAGATCTCAACCATTTTACCCTGCAACCAAGACATACAGAGAAGCCACTTTTAGACTACATCAAGAGAGCCCCACAAACAGAAGCTTTATCAGCAAAAACCAGGCATCTATAACTCCCGTAGTATCAGAGCACCGCCCTCAAGAAACGCTATCACATGAGGCCCCCCAAAACATGACATAACCGACCAACTGACTCTTTTTCTCTCAGCCTCTTTCCCCACCAAACCCCACACCCCATTCTCAATTCGCTCTCAAAAAAACTTTCTCTCTCTCTCTCTCGAGCACCAAACAATGTCAGCAACACAAACAATCACCGTTCCCCACCTCGGCGGCATAACCGCCTCCTACCGCCTTTCCCCCTCCTTCTCCGCCAGCAAACCCACTCTCGTCCTCGTAAACTCGTTCCTCACCACCTCCGCCCTCTTCGACTCGTTCTTCAGCAACGATGCGCTTACCAGCCGAATGAACCTGCTAGCGATCGAGCTGCTGGGACATGGACAGACGAGAGCGCATGAGGCGGAGCACTGGACGTATTGGGATACTGCGGTGATGAATTTGCAGGTTATGGAGGGGTTGGGGGTGAAGAAGGCGTTTGTGATGGGGACGAGTCAGGGAGGTTGGGTTACGGTTCGTATGGCGCTTTTGGGGGGGAAGAGGGTATGTTTTCCCTTTTTTTTCAAAATTTTTTTATCTGGCGGGGGAGGGTGAGAAGATGGGTTGGGGTGGATGGAAGAGCAGTATGATGTTGGAGGAAGAAAAGGTTGTATACGAGAAGGCAATTAGCTGACCGCTGGTGACTTTTTTTTGCACCTACAGATCCAAGGTATAATCCCTCTCGGAACATCACTCGACTACGAATCCGAACGCAGTCGCCAACTTGGTTGCTGGCAGTCCTTGGATGCCCTCGCCAACCTCATCACGGGCGACTTCGGCACCAAGAACAACCAGCCCACTCCCGACTTTGTGCCTACCAAGGAATTCGCCGAGTTCCTCATTAGCCAAGGGTTTGGTCAGGATTGCTCCGCGGAGGTCAAGGAATTCTGGACGGAGCAGCTTCAGAAGAATTATACCGGTGATGAGGGAAGGAAGAGGATGAGGATGGCGGCGATTAATTTGAGGGATAGAGATGGATTGCATTTGCGAGCTGAGGATGTCGTTTGCCCGGTTTTGTGGCTGCATGTGAGTTTTTCTGGTTATTTCTTTGGTTTCTTCTTTTTACGAGTCCTTGAGTGTGTTTGCTTATATGAGAGTTCTCTCTACGCGTCAAGCTGGTAACTTGCGAAGCATGGCATGTTGCTGATATTATACAACCCCCAGGGAACAAACGACGTGGTATACACCGTTGCGAACGCCCAAGAGGAAATCAAGCTCTTCAAAAACTCGCCTGATGCACGGCTCGAACTAATCGAAGGCGGCGAGCACTTTTTGAATTCCTCGAATCCAAACGAGGTCATGGAGCATACAATTGCTTTTGTTGAAAAGTACGCTAAGTAGTACATCTCGCTTGACCATTTTGTTTGTTAAAAAACACAAACCAAGAATACGTAAATTTCAGTTCGTGCGCTATGATACACCAAATACCCTATTTTCTTTTCCTTTTCTTTTAAAAAAAAGAGAACATTCCACGTCAGGCCATGTAGTGAACAACCCCAGCTAATACCCCCACCCACTCTCCCATATGCACACATACGCATATGCAACTCCATCACGACAACTGCATACGTCCTCAGATACGTCACGATAACCAGCCACCCAACGCCAACGCCCCTCCCGCGGCAAAAGCAAAAAAAGAACCCGCACCCTCTGCCGGTCACCAGCACAGCCCTAGCTGCCAGACCCGGCACCCCCCCTCTCCCCAAGCTCCACCCACAACCACACCAACCCTTCAAATGTGGAGCTTAGCCAAAACCTTCAATTCTTTTGGGTGTGCGGGGAAAATCATGCGAGCCAAGATCCACGCTGGGACAATACCCCGTTGGTCCTTCCGCTCTTTTCCCCCATTCCGAGCCACACCCACCTCCAAGCCCCCAAGCCCTACTAAACAAGGGGAGCCTTTCGAGGTGGCCGGGGAGAGTTGCAGATCGAACCGCTCGGGGAGCGCGGCAGATGTGGAAAAAAGCAAAACATCATGGCAAAAGTCGAAGAAAAAAGCAAGGATGTGGTTTGTTATTGAGTAGTAGAGTTACTTTACACTAGCTTGCACAATCGGCTTCCGCTTCTTGCGCACCATTCGAGTTTCATCTGACAAGGGCTCCTTGTTACGCCAAGTCTGCACTTTACCACGGTTTGGTCGGCTCTCTAGCCACACCAACAGCGGAAGCTTGCAAAAGCGCCATAACGAAAGCCACATAGCTACTTGCTTGGCCATTCCTAGTAAAATGCGGAGACCCAAGCCTTGGCAAGGTGAGTTGCTAAATAACTTTTTCACTATTGAGGATATTAGAAAGTCTTATATAGATCAAACGTAGAACTAGTCTAAGGTTATAACTCACTCATACAAAGCTTCTTGGTATAAACACTATCCGTGGAGATAGTCGCCAAAAGGCTACCCGACGTGGAGACCCAACTCGCCAGCCTAGAGCGGCCACCGTTTGTTGCAAGAGGAATAATTCATACTTAAGATGTGCGAGCCCTCTAGCTTAACGATGCTTAGGTCTTTTACTATATAATATAGTCTTTAAATATACGTGATTGGTAGCAGTTGAGGTTCATCTATGTAAAAGAAATAACTAACTCTGTCTCTTTTGTTAGACTTGACCTCAGTAACCTACGTTAATCGTATTCGCTTTCTACTGTTTTCTGTTGAATAGCCAGCATGTTCTTTACCATCGGCGCCCTTCTCGACTAGTAGCCTCACCACCTGCTCGTGGCCTTGTTCTGAAGCCGCCTGGAGAGCGTTCCCATAGAATCCACCCTGGGCGTTGACATCGGCGCCCTTCTCGACCAGCAGCCTTACTACCTGCTCATGACCTTCAAACGAAGCCGCATAGAGAGCATTCCCATAGTTTCCACCCTGGGCGTTGACATCAGCGCCCTTCTCGACTAGTAGCTTTACCACCTGCTTACGGCCTCGAAATGAAGCCGCATAGAGAGCGTTCCCATAGAATCCACCCTGGGCGTTGATATCAGCGCCTTTCTCGACTAGCAACCTCGCCACCTGCTCGTGGCCTGTAGATGAAGCCGCATAGAGAGCGTTCCCGTAGAATCCACCCTGGGCGTTGATATCAGCGCCCTTCTCGACTAGCAACCTCGCCACCTGCTCGTGGCCTGTAGATGAAGCCGCCTGGAGAGCGTTCCCATAGAATCCACCCTGGGCGTTGACATCAGCGCCCTTCTTAACTAGCAACCTCGCCACCTGCTCGTGGCCTTGTTCTGAAGCCGCCTGGAGAGCGTTCCCGTAGAATCCACCCTGGGCGTTGACATCAGCGCCCTT